CCACCCACCCAACCAAGTCCACTAGTTTCTCCTCTCCCAAATCACACGCCCAGCTGTCAGGCTCACGGCAGCCTTTAGCACTGGAAAAAGCCAGGAAACGAAGGCTCCCAGGCAACTTGAGCACAGCCTGATGTGCGGCCCGCTGGGCACAGCGGAATTCCAAGGACTTAAGTGGGGTACCAGGCCATAAGGGAAAGCTGGTAGCGGCTGGGGCAATCTTTACCTGAAGCTGCTTCAACAGTGCGGGCAGGGCCGCCCCCGGGACACGTTCCTGGAGGGAAGGCCCGGCTCCCCGCGCCTCCCGGCCCCTGTCCCAAGCACTGCACGCCAAGGATCCTTGGAGACTAACGCTCCTCCAGGCCGCCTCAGCTGCCGTTTCCCAGGCTCACCCTCATACCCCCAGCTGCCCACAGCCGAACGCCGTACGAGAACCAGTCCTATAGCCTGGAGCCGCTCCACGACCCGGAACTACACCCCAATTCACCGGAAGTCCTCCAACGGGAAGGAATCGTCGGTTGGGGATGGAGTGCGCAAGCCCCAGAGTAGTGAGCTTGGAGAGGCGCCCTCCCTGGGGGTGGAGCCAAGAGAGAGAGTTTACGCGTGCGCAAAGCTTCTGTGGTGGAGATGGCTTGAGGCTGGTTTGGAGTTCTAATGGGATCTGTCAGCGTCGGGACTTCACTTAAGCTGAAATCAACCTTAGCAGCGTCCTTTGAATCTCCTTCTCCTTCCTATTTCCACAAAAGAAAGCCCTGAGGTTATCCATAAACGTATCAATGATGAGGAAGCTTAGCGTCTGGATCAGAATGACCTGTGTTAAAAATGGCAACTTGCTATGTGTTTTATCTCCCCTTTCTGAGCCTCGGTTTTCCCATCTATAACAGTGGTTCCAACTATTGCCTTGAGAATTGGAGAAGATCATGCCTAAAATCACTCAGCACAATATCTGATAGGTAATAACCCCAAACCAAACTCACTGCTTGCAAGTCTATTCTGACTCACATCAATCATAGACAGCATAGGACTGCTTAGAACTTTTCAGACTTTAGGAAATCAGACTACCAAATCCTTCTCACCGAGCAGTTAGTAGGTTCAGCTGGCCAACCTTCCAGTTAGCAGTCAAACGCTTAACCACTGCTCCACAAGAGCTCCTTAGAAACTCTGTTGTTAAATGTTCTCGAGTTGGTTTCCTACTCATAGCGATCCTGTATAGGGTTTCCAAGGAGCGGCTGGTTGGTTTGAACCGCTAATCTGGTGTTTAGCAGTCCAGTGCCTATCCTATAGCACCACACCAGGACTCAAAAAAAAAAAAAAAAAAAAAAGCTCAGTACATGTTAGTTATTACTCTTTGTTGTTATTCCGACTCATAGTGACCCCATATGACAGAGTAGAACTTTCCTATAGGATGGTGTGGTAGTTCTATGTGATAACCCCTGGACTGCGATCCTAAAGGTCAGCGGTTCTAGCCCGCTCCGGGGAGAAAGATAATGTTTTCTACTCCCGCCAAGATTTACAAAGCCTTGGAAACGCTATACAGGGTCACTATGAGTCTAGAACCAACTCCACGGTACATTAAAAACAACAATCTTCATGGGATCACATCACCAGGTCTTTCCTCCCAAAGAGCTATTGGTGGATTGGAACCTCTGAGTTTTTGCCTAGCAGCCAAGCTCTTAACCTGGTGGTGGTAGTAGTGTGCCGTGGTGTTGGTTCCTACTCCTAGCGACCTTGTATAGGGTTTCTGAAGCTGTAAATCTTTACAAGAGCAGAAAGCCTCATCTTTCTCCCACGGAACGGCTGGTAGTTTCAAACTGCTGACCTTAATGTCAGCAGCCCTATTCTTAACCACTACGCTACCAGAGCCCTTAACCTATTGCATATTTAATCTGCCTCAAGAATCGCTGGGATGCTTCCATGAGATGTACGGGGAATTTGTGACCTCTCACTCTTAAGAGGGAATCCGTAGGAGAAGCAATGGTGAGGGAAAAGAAGGACTCAAGCAGTGTAAGGATGGTGTTCTTCTGCCTGAGAAATGCTCTGGAAAGTCACTCTCAAAATTCCCCTGAACACCCAGATGTGAGCAGGGATAGTGCTTCTGCACACACACTGCCACAGTTTTGGCAGGAGCCTGTTGGAAGCACTCACCAAGGCAACAGGTGTGAACAAGGCCTTACCAAGATCTCTCTATCTGCTGCTCCCTCAGCTTTCACCACTATGGACATAATCCACCAGTTTCCATCAGTTGATTCAGACTCTGGCCAACCTATGTGTGTCAAATAGAACTGTGCTCCATAGAGTTTTCACTGACCAATTTTTAAAAAAATACATCTCCAGGTCTTTTTTCCCAGGAGCCTTTTATGTTAAATATTTACACCACCCAGGGATTCCATGGACATACATACAGTTGTTGCTAAATGCCTTTGAGTCAGTTTCAACTCATAGTAACCTTGTATAAGGCTTCCAAGAAGCAACTCATGGGTTTGTGCTTCTGATCCCATAGTTAGTCTTCAAGTGCTTATCCTACACAAGGTCAGTGGTTCAAACTCACCAGCATTTCCTTGGAAACCCTATACAGGGTCACTATGAGTCAGAACTGGTTCGAAAGCAATTAACACCATCACCAACAAACAACATATAAACTCTGTCACTTTCAAGTCTTATGACTTCATCTTTCCAAACTTTCTATACCTGTAAAATGGGAATGACAAAGCTAACTAACTTTATTGGGTTATTGTGAAAATTAAATGAGTTAATTACAGAGTAAGTAAAAAAATATTGCTACTAGAGTTCCAGTTCATACATGCATAAGTTTACTCCAAACAAATTATGTTTAAACATGTCTCTGTGAACAGTGGATGGCCTTAGACAAGTCCTCTCCATAATACACTTGTCTTAGTCTTGTTAAGGTACCTTCAAAACAGTGGCTTCCAGGGGGAACTGCTGAACCAGTTCAATTCAAGATAAAAAGTTCAGCTCAGAAAGTTATGAAAACTCTTTTTTTTTAGAGATTCTAAAAGGGTAGTCTTGATAGATTTTCTCAAAGGACACAGAACAATCATGGGGGCTTCTAAGGAAGTTTTAAGAAAGTGGAAAACTGCATTGCTAACAAAAAAAAAAAAAAGCTAGGAAAGTTGCACCAATTACTTTTTCCCATCACAACAACGCACCTGCTAATTCTTTGAGGATAGTAAAGGCTGTTCTATGAGAATTTTGTTGGGAAAATTTACCCCATCCATCCTGTTATTGTTACGTGCTGTCAAGTCAGTTCCTAGGCACAGAGAATTAATTCAGTGGCAAAAAAAAAAAAAAAAAAAAAAATCACGTGGGGGCAACCATCATAATAAACGTTGTTGCCAGGTTTTACTATGGATTTAAAATTGACGCTGAAGCAAGTTTAGGTACAGGAAAATATAAGATTTCAAGGACAGTGTCAAGGACCAGTTGAGTATTACTGTTGTTTTTAAGGGCTGATGAATCAGTTCTGACTCATAACAACCCTATAAAGAGTTTCCAAGGAGCGGCTGGTGGGTTTTAACTGTGGACCTTGCTGTTAGGAGTCCAAGGCTTATACTGTGCCTAGAAACCGACTTTACATCACTTAACAACAACAGGAGAGGCTATGAGTCAGAGTCAACTCAACAGCACTTAACAGCAACAAGGACAGGCTTAGGGAGAGTTAGTGGGTTTGAACTGCTAACCTTGTAGTCAGCAGAGTTAGCAGCCAAGTGCTTATCCTACAGTGCCACCCAGAACTATCCTATGAGAATTTCATTGGGAAATATTACCTCACCCAAACTACAACCCTGATCTTGCCTCTTTAGACGTCTTTTTGTTGCCAGAACTCAGAAAAACATTTTAAATAAATTATCTGAATCCCTTCAAGATGCCAAAATTGGCAGTTTTGATATGTTATAAATCAAAGAGCATAGAATTCTTCAGAGAAGGGTTAAAGAAATGGAAACAGGGCCTTCAGAAGAGTATAGACCCATACAGAGGTTATGTCAAGAAATACTAGCTTCATATTTTGGTAATAAAGGTTTCTATAATTTTGTTGAAGGAGATCTGGTAGCGTAGTGCTTATGAGTCGGGCTGCCAACCACAAGGTCAGCAGTTCAAAACTACCAGTGATTCCGAGGGAGAAAAATGAGGCGTTCTGCTCCCGTAAAGATTTACAGCCTCAGAAATCCTGTGTAGGGTCACTATGAGTCGGAACCAACTCCATGGTACTTAACAACAACAAATAATTTTGCTGAAATACTTTTTTACTTACTCTAGTATAATATCTACCATGATCTCTTCTGATAGATGTTGACTTACAGTTTACTTTCTCTATTGTTAAGAATACCACCTCAACTCTCTTTTAGATTATTGTTTGCATAGAATACTTTTTTTCCCCATCCTTTCCCTTTCAACCTATTTATGTCCTTGGAT